GAGAGAACTCTATCAACATCAGAGGTCCGACACTGTTCAACACGCTTCCACTACACATAAGGGGCATAACTGGCCGACCCCTCACAGTGTTCAAGAGAGAACTGGATAAGCACCTCCAAAGGATACCTGATCAACCAGGCTGTGACTCGTATGTCAGGCTGCGAGCAGCCGCGTCCAACAGCCTGGTTGATCAGTCCGGCAACCAGGAGGCCTGGTCGACGACCGAGCCGCGGGGACGCTAAGCCCCGGAAGCACCTCAAGGTAACCTCAAGGTAAACTAGTGGCAGAAAACCAACCAGCACAGCCGTACCCAGCACCAGCACAGCCGTACCCAGCACCAGCACAGCCGTACCCAGCACCAGCACAGCCGTACCCAGCACCAGCACAGCCGTACCCAGCACCAGCACAGCCGTACCCAGCACCAGCACAGCCGTACCCAGCACCAGCACAGCCGTACCCAGCACCAGCACAGCCGTACCCAGCACCAGCACAGCCGTACCCAGCACACCAGCACAGCCGTACCCAGCACCAGCACAGCCGTACCCAGCACCAGTATAACAGCAGCCTGCACCAGCTCAGAAGCAGCTGAAGCCAACACAGCAGCAGCGAGCACCAGCAAAGCTGATGCAAACATCTAAAAACATCGTGTGTGGAGTGAACAGTTTGAACAAGTGCTAAATTTAAGTGTATACATAGTGTTAAAATTAAAGTTGCAGTAATTTTAGTGTACAATAGTTTTCATAAACTGTATCGTAGTACTCAACATACAGCAGAACTACTTAATCAACAGTGCTAACGACATAATACACTACAGTACATATTTACTGTATAGCATTCACAACTCCATGAGACTTCAAGATGGACATTACTCTAACAATAAGGTAAATAACAACTGAAACACAGTCTTTTTTTAGTAGAGTAGTAATACAGTATCCACTCAATTTAACGGCCTCTTTTATACCGATCTGCCGGTAATAACGACCGGTTTGGGAGACCGGTATTTAGAGCCTCGTATAACGGTCTGGCGGTCGATATTACCGAAGGTCGGTATTGAGTTTGTCTTGGCATCAGAGGGTCCTCACATGGCAAGCAGGCCGCCTACCCCTTTCATCCCCTCCCTCACCCTCACTGAACCTCTACCCCCACACCCTCACTTTCTGCCTCCCCCCCCCCCCCCCCAAGACCCTTCTGGGAAATGGCTCAGTAGACTGCCAGCCAGCCAGAGACCGCCTGGAGAATCTCCATCTAATAAAGCATTCATGAAACAAGTATTTTATAACTTTTTATTATCCTAATATTATTACTAAACAAAATCTGTAAGCAAAAATATATATGATGTACATCCAGAATTTAATTAAGAAACATCTGGTTAACTGGGTCAAGTGTTAGGATTATCTCTTCCCTCCCCCACCACTGGCACCCCCCCCCCCCACCCCCATACTTCCCATACACACGCCGTCTGCTTCACTTCAACATCCATTGTGCTCCATCCCTCCCTCCCTCTCTTCTTTCCTTCCTCCATCCCTCCCCTCCATCCCTTCGTCCATCCCCTCCATCCTTCCATCCTTCCCTCCCTCCATCCATCCCTCCCTCCCTCCCTCCCTCCATCCATCCCTCCCTCCCTCCCTCCTTCCTTCCTTCCATCCCTCCCTCCTTCCTTCCTTCCATCCCTCCCTCCTTCCTTCCTTCCATCCCTCCCTCCTTCCTTCCTTCCATCCCTCCCTCCTTCCTTCCTTCCATCCCTCCCTCCTTCCTTCCTTCCATCCCTCCCTCCCTCCTTCCTTCCCTCCATCTCCCCTCCCTCCATCTCCCCTCCCTCCATCTCCCCTCCCTCCCCTCCCCTCCCCTCCCCTCCCCTCCCTCCCTCCCTCCCTCCCTCCTTCCTTCCTTCCTTCCTTCCTTCCTTCCCTCCCTCCTTCCCTCCCTCCTTCCTTCCCTCCCTCCTTCCCTCCCTCCCTCCTTCCCTCCCTCCCTTCCCTCCCTCCCTCCTTCCCTCCCTCCTTCCCTCCCTCCTTCCCTCCCTCCCTCCTTCCCTCCCTCCTTCCCTCCCTCCTTCCCTCCCTCCCTCCTTCCCTCCCTCCTTCCCTCCCTCCTTCCCTCCCTCCCTCCCTCCCTTCCCTCCCTCCCTTCCCTCCCTCCTTCCCTCCCTCCCTCCTTCCCTCCCTCCTTCCCTCCCTCCTTCCCTCCCTCCCTTCCCTCCCTCCTTCCCTCCCTCCTTCCCTCCCTCCCTCCTTCCCTCCCTCCTTCCCTCCCTCCCTTCCCTCCCTTCCCTCCCTCCTTCCCTCCCTCCTCCCTCCCTCCCTCCTTCCCTCCCTCCCTCCCTCCCTCCCTCCCTCCCTCCCTCCCTCCCTCCCTCCCTCCCTCCATCCATCCTTCCTTCCCTCCCTCCCTCCCCCCTCCCTCCCTCCCTCCCTCCCTCCCTCCCTCCCTCCCTCCCCCTCCCTCCCCTCCCTCCCTTCCCTCCCTCCTTCCCTCCCTCCCTCCCTCCTTCCCTCCCTCCTTCCCTCCCTCCCTTCCCTCCCTCCTTCCCTCCCTCCTTCCCTCCCTCCCTCCCTCCCTCCCTCCCTCCCTCCCTTCCCTCCCTTCCCTCCCTCCTTCCCTCCCTCCTTCCCTCCCTCCTTCCCTCCCTTCCCTCCCTCCCTTCCCTCCCTCCCTTCCCTCCCTCCTTCCCTCCCTCCTTCCCTCCCTCCTTCCCTCCCTCCCTCCCTCCCTCCCTCCCTCCCTCCCTCCCTCCCTCCCTCCCTCCCTCCATCCTTCCTTCCCTCCCTCCATCCATCCTTCCTTCCCTCCCTCCCTCCATCCTTCCCTCCCTCCCTCCCTCCCTCCCTCCCTCCCTCCCTCCCTCCCTCCCTCCCTCCCTCCCTCCCTCCCTCCCTCCATCCTTCCATCTCTCCATCCTTCCATCTCTCCCTCCTTCCATCCCTCCCTTCCTCCCTCCTTCCATCCCTCCCTCCCTCCTTCCCTCCATCTCTCCCTCCCTTCATCTCTCCCCCTCCTCCCTCCTTCCCTTCCTCCCTTCTTCCCTCCTCTCCATCCCTTCTTCCCTCCTTCCCTCCTCTCCATCCCTTCTTCCCTCCTCCCTCCATCCCTCCCTCCCTCCCTCCTTCCTTCCATCCAAACATCTGGTTGCGAGCCGGTTCCTTCCCCCACCAACGACACCCCCCACCCCCCCCCCCCCAAACTTCCCATACACACACTCTCTCTGCTTCATCCGAACAACCATAGCTCCATCCCTCTCTCCCTCCCTCCCTCCATCCATCCATCTCCATCCTACCATCCATCTCCATCCACTCCCTCCCTGCATCCCTCCCTGCCTCTGCCTGCCTGCCTCCCTCCCTGCCTCTCCCTGCCTGCCTCCCTCCCTCCCTGCCTCTGCCTGCCTGCCTCCCTCCCAAGCTCTGCCTGCCTACCTCCCTCCCAAGCTCTGCCTGCCTGCCTCCCTCCCTGCCTCTGCCTGCCTGCCTCCCTCCCAAGCTCTGCCTGCCTGCCTCCCTCCCAAGCTCTGCCTGCCTGCCTCCCTCCCTGCCTCTCCCTGAATGCCTCCCTCCCTCCCAAGCTCTGCCTGCGTGCCTCCCTCCCAAGCTCTGCCTTCCTCCTTGCCTCTCCCTCCTTGCCTACCTCCCAGCTCTCCCTGCCTGCCTGCGTACATTTCAGCCTCTCCATCCCTGCCTGCCTGCCCATCCACCCACCAGTCAGCCATCACTAACACAACGAGTGCATTTGGAGCCGACATGGTGCATGGATGTTCCTTGATTGTGCCGATATGTCCAACAAAGTCACGGAATGAATACTCCAGTCTCATGACAAATCAAAACAATGTGCCATGAATCTGTGACGTTACAGGGTAGAAGGCACTACAGTGATGGACCCAGAGACTGGCTGTATAAAATATATCTTACCTGAACGTTACTTGAAAAATTACCGACACTTTACTTCGGAAATACCAGAGCTCCGGAAATAACGACCAGGGTACAGCCCCATATAGGCCGTTAAATCGAGTGGATACTGTATATAGGTGCAGAATATAATATGATAATGCATTTTTATTGTGTACAAGAAATAAAAGGACACTGACGCAAATGCCTCCTGAAGGTCACCTCTTGCAACGAATCCAACGCTCCAATGCACTGGGGTTGGTCCAATATAGTACCTTGAATCGAGGTCGTACTGTACTGAGGCCTTCACACCCGGGAATGTTGCCCATGATTTTTTTTTTATATGGTGACTGTTTAGGAGAGCCCTGAGGAAGCTGATGTGAACCCCCGTGTAGCCACGGGAGTTATGAATGATACGCTATACCTATGAGATCCCTGAGGTGCGTTGCGCACCACCCGCCGAGAGCCTCATGACGCATTGTGCAGTGCAGTGGACAGGGAAACAAGCAAACGTCCCATTCTGCCACCGCATCGCTTATCCGCACAGCTCATCTCCTGGAGGGGTGAGCCCCGGACCCCTCATGCCGGCTACCAAATCACTCCAGTTCAGAGGCTGAGCATCAAAACCCAAGCAAAAAATTGCCGACCAGAGGGAGGGAGGGTGCCAAGGAGCCTCAGGGACAGGGATGCCAGATTGGGCTACTTGTAGCCCAATTGGGTTACCAATTATGATAATTGTATTCAATTAAAATGCCAGCTATGTATGTCACTACTTACTACTTTTTCGGCGACAGTTAAAATAAGCTGGGCTGTTTATTCTGAAAGGCGAATCAATTGAAAAAAAAATGTTTGGCTACTTTTATTGTAAAGTTTGTGACATGTAGTTCTTCAGATCGCAACTTTTGGCAACTCAAATCTGGCACCCCTGCTGAGGGGCTCACCCAGAAAATATTGTTTCATTACATTCAATGTTGGTTTTCTGAGGGAAGCCCCTTTGGCTCCCTAGAGCTACTAAACCAAACAAAAGGAAAAAAAAAGAGTGACTTACCCAGGAGGTGGTATGTCAGATGGTAACATACCGACTCCCACTGTCAGTATGTTACCATCTTGAGCACCATCCAATACCTTATATTGCACCATCCAGACTCTGAGGATCCCATGGTGTTCAGTTCCTCATTCGTGGTTGCATTCAGGTCCTCTTTCATATAAAGCAGTACACCACCTGCTCTTGTTGTTCTGTCCCTTCTGAACAGTGGATGATACCCTGGAAGGAGGAATTCCCCTTCAATAATGTCCTCTCATTCCCATGTTTCACTTATGCCAATGTTTCTGTAGTTGTGGCCTCCGTGTATGCACACATCAAATTTATTCACCAGGCTTCTGGCATTAGTGTAAAAGCACTTTAAATTTCTTTCATTGTTCCTACTGGGGTGAGAGATAACTCCTAGATTCTGTACATTATCCTGTTGCTCGCTGTCACTCCAGTTTTGTGCCTGTTCATCTTCCGATATGTTACGTGGGTGAAAATAAATCCCCTATTTTAGCATGGAAATACACTGTACAGCTGGCACAAGCAATTTTTAGTAATAATTATGATTTGTTGTAGTACAATATAAGGTAATGTATTTCTTTATTTTATATTCATGATCATTTATGAACCTAACACAGCACAACACTAAAATTACTGTACATAAGCTTGGCAAGATCAGTTTTGATTGCCAAATGCTAAGGCTTCACTGATTGAAGGCCCTTGGCTTTCTGGTAAGCATAGGTTTCTCAATGCCATTTTCAGTTATCTGGCCAAATTTACTTTTATTCAGATTTCTGTTCGGATATGTCGGAGTTTTGAGAACTCCTTAAATTTATCCAGAATCAATTTTAGCTGGAAAACCCCAACTGTTGGGTTGAAAAGGCTTCAGATAACCAAACTGGAAAGGGTGCAAAATCATGCAACTAAATGGCTTCAAGAACTGAAAAACCAGAGCTATGACAAGAGTTTAGAGGTGTTACACAGCATATACCAAAGGTGTTCCGTCTTCCCGATACTCTTTATCATAGGATGCTTTGAAACTATCAACAGTTTTGGCCTCCACACTTTTTCATTTAACTTGTTTCAACCATCTACTTCACTGTTTGCAAAAGTGAGCTTTCTAATATTTTTTCGGCAGCTTTGTTTCCTTAGTTTGAACCTACTACCGCTTGTTCTTGAAGTAGCAGTGTTCAAAAATTTTCTTTGTCAATTTTGTCAATTCCTGTTATTGTTTTGTACGTAGTGATCATATCTACTCTGTTCTATCACTATGTACAAAACAATAACAGGAACTGACAAAATTGACAAAGAAAATTTTTGAAAACTGCTACTTCAAGAACAAGAGGTAGTAGGTTCAAACTAAGGAAACAAAGCTGCCGAAAAAATATTAGAAAGTTCACTTTTGCAAACAGTGAAGTAGATGGTTGAAACAAGTTAAATGAAAAAGTGTGGAGGCCAAAACTGTTGATAGTTTCAAAGCATCCTATGATAAAGAGTATCGGGAAGACGGAACACCACGAGTAAAGCTCTCATACTGTAACTACACTTGAGGCAACCTGTCCTCCTACAAAGAATGTTGCTTTTTGCTTGTATATATTACATATTGCCAAAAACTGTTGTACTAGAAAATGCAAGTGACTCGCGAAAGTGACGTACCGTCCCATTTTCTGTTTTGAGGTCCTCTGGTAGGTAGGTTAGAAGAGGACACTAATTTGACCATTTTCTTGACGTTGGGAAACCTTTAGAGGCCGGCTGCTTGAGTACAGTACTTACACATTTCAAATAAAATATTGTATATTATACACATTGAGAATGTGCTACAAAATATATTTGTTACAGTACCTTGAGAGAAGCTTCCACCCAGTTAAGAGGGGCCTCATCATCTTGCTCAAGTTCATCATCTGAGTCAAGCAGAGGATTTAGTTTCCTTGTACCAAGAGACGTAGGGCCTTTATTTTTATTTGGCAAAATTAAGCCATATCTGAAAGTAAACATTTAATTATTGAAATATTTTTTAATTTCAATTTCATAACTATCATAAAAGATGTCGTGCAAAATCTTCCAAACAGATCTCCCCCAAAAATACTGGATTCCTCAGGGAAGGAGGATTAGAGGGGTGGAGCAGCAGTGAAATTGGGATTCTCAGTTTGTTGCAAAAAGTAATTGCCATCTAATTAGCATACATAGGTAAAAAAAAAAGCATTGAATGTAATGAAATGCCATTTTCTGGGTGAGACCCGGAGGCTCCACAGAGCTATCCAGGCTGATATGGATATACTGTATAGCTTTCTGGCATCAGTCAATATGCATGGAGTTTTTGCCTACCAGGGACTACAAGCCAGAACCTGGGGCCCCCTCAGAGAGGCACGAGAAGCAATGGCCTATAGAACCCCCCCCCCCCCTCCTGTGTGGTTGGGAGCATTCTATGTCTGCCATCGACGGGTCTGGCACCCAGAAAGGTAGGCGCACCAAAACAAACCCCAATTCTGGTGAACATATTGCTACCGAATGCCGAACGAGTGGACAGAACTCCCAAAATAAAAATTAGCAAAGTAGCATGACGTCATCACGGTTCCACACTGCTGTCTGCGCAACTACCCCCTCCCCAGGAGGGGGAGAGGGAAGCCCCAGACCCTCGCGCCAGCGATCCACCCTTCAGTTCATAAGCTGAATGTCAAAACATGCAAAAACACTGCCGACCGGAGGGAGGAAGGGTGCAGGGGAGCCCCCCCGGGGTTCACCCAGAAAATGGCATTTCATTACATTCAACACTTGTTTTCTGGGGAAAGCCCCTGTCAACTTTCTTGGGACAGGGGTAGCTAGGATTCCGGTCCTGGCTACGGCTTTTCTTTGTTCCTCTTCCGGAACGTACTGTAACCGCACGATTATCCGGGATTCGAACATCCAGAAAACGCCCTTATACGGCCAAAATCGTGAACAGATAAAGTTACTGTATCTCAATATCCGGCCAAAATGGCCATGAGAGCCGGATAAAAGCTGGTTTTGCCAGATAAAAATTCGATTGTGCCGTATTAATCCCGTCTGCCTGTGGCTCTAGACGCATGGTGGAGGAGGGGGTGGGGGTGGGTGGGTGGTGTTGGGAGGGTGGGAGGGGAGCGTCAGGAGGGACCACCTGGGTACAGGAATTACCATTAATTTTAGAACAATTAATCATAGCCAAAAACAAATGAAATAAGTACTAGTAATTATGTAATAACAAATATATAAGTTTCCTAAAAGCAATGTGCACAGGCTGAAATTTCCTTAAAAAATATTGTGTTTTTTTCCTCCTGGCGGCCTACGTAACGTGCTATAACTGCCCCAAGTGGACCCGTCCAACACTGGTCAACCCATGTGCTCCCGTCCCTCGTTTTATACCACAGTGCTGCGCCATTAGTGAAATATTTTTTTTAAATAACTTTTTTATTTTCATAATAACTTTGAATATTTTTCCCCAAGACTATGTCTGGTAGCAGCATCAATCGATCTGGAGGTGTTAAGAGGAAGAAAGTTGTCCTAATAATTAAGGAGCCATGGTAACCGAAAATCCGAAGAAAAATGGAATATTTACGAAAAATTACGAAAAATACTACAACGTTCTGGCAACACTGGTCCAAACCGTTTAATGATATCTTGAAAATTAACGTAATTAGAGTCAAATTTCCCGCTGCAACTTTCGTGAATCTGGTCCTCGCGGCGTGAGTGCGCCGCGGGGTATTGTATCTTACGTTGTAGAAGTCTTATTTTTCGTAATAGCGTTGAAAATAACATGTTATGCATAAAATGAATATAAACTCACTCATTGGCAACAGTATCGTGTGAGAGAGGGTGGTATGTGGCTCAGCCCCATCAGTGACTCTGTGTCTCTCGTGGGGGGTGGTTGTATCGCTGACGCGCGCTCACACTATCTCCCAGAACTCATGCTATTATTGTTATTTGTACTGCAATATGACTTACCAAACGAACAAGAGACAAGCATTGAAAGCTAGATGCATGCGAGCTCTCCATAGAAGGTACTAGCTGGCCGCAATGCGTAAATCACGCATTGTCACGGGTGACCGCGAGTATGTGTATCTTGTCGCGCGCGCTACGCAACTCCAACTTTTACAACTAGATCCGGTCTCACAGCCTTTATTTATTATTCAATTTACATGAAACTTGCACATTATATGTAGAGTTTACGCCTCTATAAACGGATGTCATTATTCTTATCTACGTAGATTTATTGATTTTATAAATAATGATACACTTCATTTTGTTGCATACGTTTTTGGGAAACTTTTATAAATCTGTATTATTGCAATAAATACATCTGGGATAATGATGTGACATGCAAATCTTTATTATATAGTAAGGTCATACCTGCGTGTCGTAGAAATGATTTTGGTTCACAATTGTGGGCTGTGAAATCAATTGAACATGGTTGAAAAATTCAATTTCTTTTTTTTTTTTTTTTTCCGTCTCTATTTAGGCTGAGATGCTGAAACTTGGCCTAGGTGCAGCACCTTTCACATGTATCAGGATAATAAATTATGAATACCCTACAACAATTTCTTATATCCTGGTACCATGGCCCCTTAATGACAAGTTACTGTTATACACCTCAACCAGTGTGGCGTCACAGTGCTGCGCCATTAGTGAAATATTTTTTTACATAAGTTTTTTATTTTCATAGTAACTTTAAACATCGTTGGCCAAGACTATGTCTGGTAGCAGCATCAATCGTTCTGGAGGTGTTAAGAGGAAGAAGGTTGTCCTAGATTAAAGACAAGTTACGTGTTCTTCAACCAAGGAGGCGCAAGCCAGGCGCCTCCAACCAGCGAGGCGCAAGCCAGGCGCCTCCAACCAGCGAGGCGCAAGCCAGGCGCCTCCAACCAGCGAGGAGCAAGCCAGGCGCCTCCAACCAGCGAGGCGCAAGCCAGGCGCCTCCAACCAGCGAGGCGCAAGCCAGGCGCCTCCAACCAGCGAAGCGCAAGCCACGCGCCTCCAACCAGCGAGGCGCAAGCCAGGCGCCTCCAACCAGCGAGGCGCAAGCCAGGCGCCTCCAACCAGCGAGGCGCAAGCCAGGCGCCTCCATCCAGCGAGGCGCAAGCCAGGCGCCTCCAACCAGCGAGGCGCAAGCCAGGCGCCTCCATCCAGCGAGGCGCAAGCCAGGCGCCTCCAACCAGCGAGGCACAAGCCAGGCGCCTCCATCCAGCGAGGCGCAAGCCAGGCGCCTTCAACCAGTGAGGCACAAGCCAAGCGCCTTCAACCAGTGAGGCTTCAGCAGCTGGCAGTCAAAACTAACTTTGCTAATGAACTGTACAGTAATATAAAGTGTTAATTTTAGTGTTCTGTTAGTATAGGTTACGTAAATTGTTAAGAATTCTTAACTTCAAGATGTGTGGCATCAATCAAGAAGACGAACACCAACAAGGTAAGTTGAGGTTTCTTGTTGAATATTTAATAATTATATGTGGCAAGGCAATTAAAATTATGTTGTTTGTAGTATAAAAATAGTTGGAAATGGTCACTTTTGGACTCGTAGGTGAAAAAGAACCATTATCCGGAACACGTGATAATCCGGCTGGGGGTCCTTCCCATGTAGTCCAGATGATCGAGTGGAGACAGTACATTTTAGTTTTCCTGCGGTACACGTCCTGCGAAGTTCTCCACCTGTATGCCTCAGAGATGCGTGTGTCGTTCTTCCCTGCTGGAGCTGGTTGCGCTGCTACTTTTGGTTGCGGGGTAGCTTGTGGTGCTCGTTTTCCTCGTTGGCCTCTGCCTGAACCCTGGCTCTTCAGTGTTTGGCCTTGTTGGTCCTTCAGGGGTCCTGGGAGGGTTCCTCCCAGATGGGGCATGTCTGCTCGCCCGCGTCGGTTCCTTTTCGGCTCGCTGGGATTGGGTTCCTGGTTCCCTGGCGGCTGTTCCTTCTGGATTTGCCAGCCTTGGTTCAGGGCGCTGCTTTACTCGGTTTTTGATCCTGAAGGCTTACCGCGGCTCCGCCTCTTTTTGCGGATCAGACCAGCCCTGTACAAGGCTGGTTTGTTCTTCCCCTCGAGTCTTCGCATCTCGGGTTTTTGTCTTTAGTTCTCGTCGCTTGTGTGGGCACTGGTGGCTTCGTTGTTGGTCTCCCGCCTGAGTGCTTTGTCTTGGCGGCAGTGTGTAGTTTTCCTGGCGGTCCTTTCAGTTTTCCTATCACTGCGAAGGGTTCTTCGGTCTCCGATAGGGTTGTCTAGTTTTTCTCTTCGGGGTTGTTCCAGGACCGTCGTCTGGTGACGGGTATTGTCGCCTCGTCTTGGGTGGCGCTGACGGAGCCTCTCCAGCTTACGTTCGGTGTTGCTGTTCTTTCTGCTCCATTCTGCTTGCTGTCTTGGGCGTTGTTTCACCTCCGGCCTGCTCTTGCACTTCCTGGTCGCGCAAGAGTCGTTGGTCGTTGGCCTGGGTAGTCATTTTCTTTTTCTTTCTTTCTTCTCGGTTTGTCGTGATCCCTTCGGTTCTGGTGGGTTTTTTCAGGTATCTTTTTTCTGTTGGTGTTGCCCTCTAGGGGCGGGGCGGGGAGTTTTCCGCTCCCCTCCAGCACCCGTGTTTTTCTGCCTCGTTTGGTCCTCGTGGTAGGTTGTTCATTTGACGCAGTCTTTTTATTTCCAGGTCATGTTTGGGTCTGCTGCTTCCTTTGTGGTTCGGTTGAGGCTCTTCGCTGTTCTCTGCATGTCTTGGCCTCTGGGGCTGTGGACGCATTTTGGTTTGCCCGGGTTCCCTTCCTTCCCTCCTTCCTGTTCTGGGGTTCGGGTCTCCCGGGTTATCAGCAGGGTCTTTTCATTTTGTCTGTGGTCTTGTTTTTATGTTTGGGCGCATGGCGTCTGCCTCCCGGATCCTTCCCTATTTTCTTATCTGTGGTGAGGTAGCTCCAGCGAGCCAACGGGGCTCCCCCCAGAAAACCAGCGTTGAATGTAATGACTCGCTGTTTTCTGGGCAAGTCCCAGGGGCTCCCCGA